AGAGACAGACAGACAGCTTGAGGTAAACAAAGACAAAGGATTTTTCTCAGCAGATGATCTTCTATATAAGACATGCTTAAACCCTTGGAACGTGAGACTGGTTCAGCAGGTCTATCCTTTGCTTTTCTGATGTAAGTCTGTACTTTAGTGTAATAGTAGACAGCTGTGCCTCTCAATACCTTCCCTGAGGGATGCAGGAAGCAGTCTATGTGTAGGATGAAAGGCAAGGAGGGTGCATATGTGCAAAAGCCTCAAAACTTGTTTTGGATCCACCTTTATGCTCCATCTAACCGGGTTTGTGTAAGTTTCCCCGAGCATCACAGAGGGTCTAATAGACCCACCCCACATCAAGATTTTTTTAAAGTTTTCTGGTAGAAATAGTCTGATTCAGAACAATGGCACATGAAAAACCAGATTTGCAAGTTTTGGAGATCAGAAGTGAATCACCATCCGATGACTCATATATGGATGATAGAGCTGATCCATCGTGGTAAAATACGTGCTTTCATCACAGAAGCCTGGTGTAGGTGTGTGCTGCTGCTGCTGCTGTCGCTGCTGCTGACTTTGATGTTGGCCATGGGAGCCAAAGTTTCTGTGACAGTGAAATGAAGCAAGAATCCACAGATACAGACACAGGGCATGCAGACCTCCTTGATTCAGATGACAAAGAAAATAGCAATGTGAGTACACATTCGCCGAGTTGAAATGTTGTGAAACAACCATGCAACCAAAGGGAATGATTCGATGCTAGAACTAGGTCCACAAAGAATGAAGGCCTTTGCAGGGGTGAAACCTATTGGACAGAATGCCAGCCCCGCCACTCAGTGTTGGAGATTGTAACAGAAATGCTATGCGATGCTGTGAAATGCACAAAGACTTTAACACAAGTAAAACATTCTCTATGCACCAATAGCCATGCTGAAAAACATACGTAACACTACGACTCACTAGCTGAACTGAAAGCGTTCATTGGTCTGCTGGACTTACCGCAGATTTCTCATGGTGATTGCAGGAATGTAAAAGACTTTTGCAAAAGAGATGGGCCGAAATATGGTCTGACCATATATGCTCTTGTTATGCTTCCTGTTTCCACATTTATCCTGAAGCTCAGACTTGGGTCCCTATTCATACGGTAATAAATTGGATGATGTTGTCAACAGACTTGACGCTCCCAGCTCCCGAATTAATTTGCTGTGTGACGCACAAAAGTAAATGTTCTTGACCAGTTTCAACTTGAAATAACATTAGCTAACAGAGCACAAGTCGACCAGCACGGGAACTGTACACAGGAACAAAGCAGAAATTCCAAATGAAATGTTACAACTTCAGAACAGAGAATTGTAGACTACTACCTTCGAATTTCAGAAGGGTACAACATTAGCCTCCTGTATGGCAAGGAAAAGCCAAGCGCATTGCTCATGTCAACGTTTCACCATGAGGGAAAGAGTGATACAGAAACCTTGACCGAATGGAAGACTGAGTTGAAAACTTCCCACAAGAAAACCAAATGTGGCGTTGATGATTTTGATGAGTTATGCAGCAACTGTGCTAGCCCTTGAAGCACAAAGCGTTGGCCAGTCCCTGTGTTGCACTTGATCCTAAACCTGTGTGGCATAAATAGCTTGACAGTTTACAAAGAAAATAACGAGTGCAAAATATCATGGAGATCTTTCCTTAGAAGATGGAGACTGGAGCTCCTAAGAGGCCATTTACAGCAAAGGAAAAGCAAAATGTTTCTGCCCGGGGAGCTGAGCAAAACACTGCGGAGCACACTGGGGAGCTGGCAGGTGAACAGGCAAGTGCAGCCTCACAGAAAACAGCTACAACAACAGGGAAACTGAAGAGATGTCACTTGTGCCCTATAAGGAAGTAGTACAGGAGGGCAAAAATACATGCTATCAATGTAAGCGACTCTTGTGTATGGAGCTTTCAGTTGTCACGTGTGAAGACTGCCTTGGGTGTGACAGTTGAAGCAAAACTTATTTTTGTGGGTAGGACTCTATTGGTGTTTTCATTTTTGTTCACATAAAAATTTATTCCTGATGTTGTCTCTTAGGTTTTGTCAGTGAGTACACAGCTGATGTGTGAACACTGATGTCGATACACGCAATACATATTAAGAATTTAGTAAATATAATCATTATTTTATTGATTGATATTTTGTTTCTGTTAAATGCACACTGAATAATACAATAAGAACCTCCTGACAAATCAGCACAACCACTGAGATGTCAAGATTTCCTACAAGGAGGCCAGGGGTGCAGGAGACACATGCTGATGGTATAAGCGATGTATACGGATAGAACATGCTGTTGTCACGTGTGCAGACTGCCTTACGTGTGACAACTGAAGTAGAGATTCTTTGTAGAGTGCTACTAGCATTTTCATCATAGTTAATCTGGGAATTTATTTCTTTTGTTCTTTTTCATACCTTGTACACCAAAAGACAGTCAATGCTGAAAATTTTGATCTTTTTTATAAACACTCAATAAACCTTAA